TCATCACTCTGTTCTCCTTCCCACTAATAGCTGATGTGTGGTGAGCGTTCTGGCGCACTATGGCTGCTGTCGCATCATCCAGGTGGATGCTGCACATTGGTGGTGGAGGGCAGTCCCATTACCTGTACAGCGCTTTGAGTGGAGTGTCCATAAAAGTGCTATATAGGTGTAAGCAATTATTATTTTTAGGAACAAGTAATAGGTTTATTCCATGCTGAAAAGAGAAGAAAGAAAACACAACGTTTCGTCCGTGGAGCCTTCTTCGGGTCATATTCTAGGCCTTTACTTTGTATGACCACTAGGTGATGCCAAATGTTTATTTTTGCATTGGTACTTGGGTATAGGATTGCTCCAGTTGTAACAGCTGAAACCAGGTGATCTATGTTATGTCCCATGTTATTATCACATTATTACTCAACACCTTTGCTTGTGAGAAAAATGCATATTTTTTAAACTAGCATAACATTTATCCACTGCCCTGCAATGGATTGGCTACAATCCAGGTTGTATCCTGTCTTGCACCTGTTGCTTGCCTAGACCTAGCTAGCTAGCTTGCCTAGCTCCACCGTGACCCTGTATTGGATAAAGCAATTAGGAAGTGGATGGCCGGAGGTTTATCTAAAACATAAAAATGTTTTTTGAAAACATGTACTGTATATCATCCTACTTTTTTCCATTTTAATACCACAGATCTGTTTTTCTGTGAATTGAAGGTCATAGTATGATGAAGTAGTACACAATAGGTTTTCTGTTGTTTCCGAACATTGGTCTGGACCTAGATTTTTAAAAGAGCTTTTGTAAAAAGTTTGTTCTTTACTACCTTATACAATATGTATACTGTGCAACATAAAACCTCAGTAATAAGTGTGAAGCAGTGAGAGCTGATGGAGTGTTTTGTCAATGCATGTCAATATCTGAAATGGAACTGTACTTATGTGATAAAAATGTGTTTGTAAGCTTAATACAAACAGGACAGGCTTGATTTGACACAATTGTGAGCTGTTTTGCTGTGATACACGTCATAGAAAAGAACTAAGATAAAATTCACTGCAGGGTACATCAAAATGCTGTTTGTTACAATTTCAATATTATGCCAGAGGATTACATTTTAAGTCTCAATCACAACATCCTATTTGGCTTTGAATTTGGAAGTGCATAATGAACTGCTTCTTTGAAAGGTTCCTTTCACTTTAAGCATCCAAAAACATTCTAATTAGTTTTACAGAATGAATCTATGGAAGCTTTTCACCCATTGATGTTGCAAGTCAACTGTTAAAAGCTGTGCATTGGAACTCAGTTATTTTTTTTAAGATTGTATATGTGGTATTGATAGTAAATAAATTGTGCTGTGTTGTACACAATTTTAAATCATTTTACTAACCCCTTTACAGGTTTTAAATGTTTAAATGTCAGGTTTAAGCACCTTGCATGATGCCTGAATTATGTTTTCTGTATTGCTTCTTGTAAATTTAAATGGAGGATGGCAAAAAAATTAGAATGTGTGAGGGTTGAGTAGACTAGGGACATGAAACCAGTGCCTGTCAAGTTGAATTTCTTAGATTTGTGGACTGTTGATAGAGCTAACTGAAAATATAGACTTTTTTAGTGAAAAGGTGCAATCTTTTGGACTTAAAGTTATGGTTTGTTTTTTGGTGTTGGCATTGTCTTCTTAGTCACCTGGTTGGCAGTACAATTTAAACGAAGTCTTGCTAAGATACAGGAGTTGAGGTTTTCTGTCAGTGTGATGCTTGATTGCTAAAGAGAATACACTGTAGTTTGTAACTTTGAATATAAAAATTGAAGGAACTTTTTTTCACAGGTATGCCCAACCTTTTCTGTCTGTTACTGGAATTTTTCCTTGCTTTTGGCTGACTTAATTAAGCTTTTAAATTGGGCAACCTGAATGTGTAAGCCTCAGGAGATCAAGTTTGTTATAAATTAGCTCTAATAAAGGAGCTAAATGCATTGTTAGACATAATATGAAATTCACAGTGCGCATATTTTATGCAATTAGGTCATTGCTTGCCTTAACGTGGTGATAATGTCTGATACGTGCCCTTGTTTAATGAAACAAAGTGAAATTCTTGTCAAGAATACATGGACAACTGTTCCTTTTGGCCTGTTGACAGGCTGACGGGAGTAAATGGCATAGTCTTCCCATTTGAAGGTAATTAGTCACAAATAGACTGTGGCCAAGAATTTTAATACAGAATCATAATATGATGCAAGTCATTGTTAGACTGTAGTAGTAAGATTTTACTTGGATTTTAATTCCTGAATTGAATCTGTAGATGAGTAATTACAATGCATACTTAGTACTGTATTTAAGAAAAATGTATCATCTGTTTTGGATATCTTTATCATTGTGTGGCACTGCATAGAATAATAACTTTGAATTTATTGGACATCTTTTTATAGTTTATAGAGTGAGAAAGTAAATTGACTTTGTAATACCTCTCCATCTAGTCGTGCTTAACAAGGTTGATACGCAATACAACATATACTATTCAGAGCACATATGAATGAATATGCTTATCAGCGACCACTTATAAGGTTGTTTGTTTAACAATTGAAATATTTTACACTTTTCAAACATTAAAAGTATATCGTAAGAAGTAAGAACTTCTTACCAACTTAATTATCGAGATCTTCTGGGATTGAAAAAGACAACATCTGTTTATTGTGTAGCCAAATGTTTGCATCGTAATTGACCCATGTAATTTACCTGCAGTTTTTAGTACCTAAGGTGTAAAGAGAGCATGTTCAGGTAGTTACATTTCCTGCTTAATTATTCATTTTCATTCACATTTACATGGTCATTCAAGGTCTATATTTGTGTTTTCAGTATCAGTCATGGAATGCAAAATGTTTTCTAAAACACAAAAAAACAGAAATCTGGCACATTTTAAGGACACTCATGATTATGACAGCAGTTCACTTGCATTTCATGTGATTACCCTAAGGAAGTCTAATTCCAGTAACTGAAAACATGAAATGTGCTTTACTTGCAGTAAACGTGATTAATAACTGCACTCTCTGTGGAAGTAAAGATGCAGGTGAAGTAATCGGAATACTCCAAGCTCACCGAAGGCTGAAAATTTTGTGATTGTTTACGTGTGCTAGTATTCTCACCTTGTGGTGTGATCCTGTCAAATCTTAGAAGTGTACAGTATAAATATATAATAAGAGACTAAATGAATCACAAAGCATGATACATAGTCAACAAATAAAATGGTACCTGGTGGCACTATGCAAATACAAGAAATATTCCATATTAATATACTGTATATAGATATAACTATATAATATATGTGTAGCCATGCATCAACAAATTATGTGTAAAATGGGTAGCTGGTTCAGTGTATGAGGTGTGGAGGAACATGCCTCTGATCTACTGTATATTGTATGTTGTGTGTGAGACAGCTGTTTTGTTAAATAAGAAGAATACGTTCTTTTTAAAACAGCAGGATGGCACTTAATTAACAGTTTTGCTCTGTATGAATATTTTGCTGTGTCATAAGTATTGAATAAAGAAGCTTGCTAAACCATATTGGATATCCACACACAGGTGCATTATGGCAAAATAAAATCCTTTTATATTTAAATTGGGCACTAGGTCTGCATTTGAATTTCGATAGCGCATCTAAAAATACATGGAAAAGACATATCTGAAATATTGTGGTTTTTAGTCCATGCACTATTACTTTTGAATGTACTGGATAAGGTAATAGGTTTGGAGCTCACAACGGACAAAAAGCATAGTTTATTTTAAAGTATTTTAGCACTATTATTTTAAATGTGTTAATCAAAGTTTTAAAAAAAGAAGACATCTAAAACTTATTTGTGAAAAATAATGCCTCACCCTTAATTTGGCTCTTTTAGTTTCATACTGTTATTTGCTGCTAGGCTTCATCTACTTTAGTCACTTGGTCTAAAAAATGGTTTAATTTCATGTTGTGTGACAGAACACACAGGTATGAAAAATAAGACTTGGCAAGATGCAGGCTGCATTTGTACAGTGACTAACACAGTGCTTCTGCCTCCTGCTTTTCCTATTAGTGCCGGCAGCTAGCTCCAGAAAAAAATGAGTACTAAGTTGGCTCTGAAGTCAGAGCGTTCACCAGTGTTTTTTTTCTTCCCTATTGTTTGAATGTACCTACACTGGCAATACTGAGGCATGAGGACAAAGAGATGCTCCAGCTTTGCCAGTTTATACAGGCAGGCAGCTCCAGAGGAGACAGTGGAAGGTGGTAAAAGAGGCAGGATTCTCTTAGCACAGTAGTTAAACGAGTTGGAGCCCTGACTTTTTCTTTCTGGAGCCGACAATCAAATGTAACTGAGTAATGTAGATCAGGCTGATTCAATGGACTGGCACTGATGTAATTTTACATTTTATATCGGTCACAGATGGAGTGTGTTGGGAGACAGGGACTCGAGCTGGTTTGTGTCGGTTTTTTCTGCAGCCCCAGGAAAGCACAATTCTTCACTCTGTCAGGCTGCTAGGGAGGGAAATTTGTGCTCGCACAGTAGTAAGTTAATGCAAAAAAAATCGCACTTTCTGGTGTCAAGGTTTCCAGTGCAAAGCTTAGTCTTCCTGCTACTGGAGCATTTCGCGGGGATAATTAACTTTGGGATTAAAAAGGCTTGGACTGGAGGTTCAAGGAGATGGCTGTCATCTTAGCGAAAAAGTGCTGCAAGCTTCCCTTTGCCTGGATTGTTGCTGACAAAGTGAAATAGATTTTTAATATTCTGAAGTGCCGTAGCCAGGTTTTATCCTGCTACCTGTCATTGGAATGTACATTAGTAAGAATAATTGCCTGGTACACACCAGGCATTTTAATGCCTGTGGATGCTATACAGTATGACGCAAAAAGAAAGAGAAAAACAGACAAGCCAGGCAACTACAATATGTTGTTATATTTGTATTTAATTGCAAAAATTAGTACAAAAGGCAGACCGGAAGGGAGGGAAGAACATGTTTATGTGACAGATTTTAAGTGAAGACAAGCATGCTGTAAAACTTGCCTTGAGTTTGATAAGTTCCTGTTACTTCTGTGAAGGTTGACATGAATGTAGAGAATCTCACTGGTTGAGGGGGATTGTGACGCAGCATGATGTTTATATACTTACTGTAGAGAGGCTATACAGTGTGCTGTGTTTCTGGCAATCTGCTGAAAGATGTGCTCTCCAGGGTTAACTGTCACAGACGTCTCTTGTCACAGATGGCAGGCGTGAAATGAAATACTAATACACTGAATTAATGTGTCAGATAGCATTGGCGTCCTTTTACATAGGTGCCTGCTCTTCTTTTTTCTATCCGTTTTTTCTTTCCTCCTTCCCCAAAGTTGTCACTGGGAGCATTCTGAGTGTGTTGCTGTCTTCCCTAGCCTGCCTGTACAGGGGTGGCTGGTGAAGGAGCACAGCAGTCAGGAGGGAGGCAGTGTGCAGGACTGGGGGAGTTAGTCAGAGAGGGAGGCAGTGTGCAGGTCTGGGGGAGTCCGTCATAGAGCGAGGCGGCAGGCAGGTCTGGGAGAGTTCACACGGAGCTCAGAGGCAGGGCAGAAGAAGCATACACACCTCTTGAGGAAGAGAGAAGGGGTGCTGAAGGGCGTAGAATCCAGTCTAAATGGCTCTGTTTCTGGATGGGTCTCAAGGCATGGGGGCCTTCTACTGTCTGATCCGGAGGAGGTTCAAAAGGCGGCGGAAGAAACGGTCGGAACGTAAAGGTATCTTTTTCTTCCAGTGGTCTACTTCTGTACCTCAGAATTCTGGAGATTAATTTGTCATTTTTGTATTTCGTGGTAGCACTAAAAACCACTGTGTTTTTTTATTTATTTTAAGCTCCAGATGACCTGTCACTAACTTCTGCTGATTTTCCAAAGTGGTTCAAGGAAATTGTATGCTTAAGATCAGAAGCAAATTAATTTTACTGTTGCTTAATGCCTTAGGTAGGGCGATTGTGTAGATAGAATTCTGATAAACAGTAGCACGTAAAGTACAGTTGTGCATTTGAGGTGTTCAGCTGCGTTTTGCATAATATTTTCAGCTCCTATGGCTGTCACTGAAAAAATCCTCTTGGCTGGACCTTCTTGAGAAAGGAGGTCTTGTGATCTCTTAGGGTCTGTTGTTAAAACTCATTAATTTCAAATGAACTTAAATATCTGGATGATCACTGCTGAGAATAGTTCACACAGAGGCTGTCAATTCAAATATCCTGTAAGGAAACAACAGCGTTCTGTTTTACTTTAGATCTTAAAATGTTTATTGTTTATTTTTGGAAAAAAAAACTGGAGAGCGGGTTAATTAAAGTAAGGAAATCTGGGTGTAATGCAGACCACTTTGTAACTTTGTAAAATTGCATGCTTAATACACTAGTTTCAATTAGATCTAGTCATATTCCATTAGGTAACATTTTTTTATTTTGCCCAGCAGCATCATTTTGTAATTATATTTTATAATGTGGTGGTCTGAGTGTTTTGATGTATATTTCCAGTACAGAACATAAGAAACCACAAAAACAGTAATCATATTAAAAAGTCTTCTGTAAACTGTCTCCTGACTAGATTTTTATTTTCTTCATCAGGGGCAGAAATAACTTATTGTTTATAGCCATTTGATCCATATTAGTTTTTGTTTGTTTTAGCTCTACTTCTTCAGAGTTCTGTTTACATGGACTAGCATTGAAATTATGCATGAGAATGTATTAAAGTACCTAGTCTTGTGGTTTTGTGTAAAACAACCCAAAAGTATTATTTTTCTAGTTATTTCCCATAACGTACTTATTGGTCTGTTGTTTTACTTTGCACTTTTTAAACTGCAGTTTGTGTACTTTGGAATATACTTGTACTGCATACACATCTAATGTTTAGCATATACTGTATAGGAGATCACGGCACAGAAGACACTGATATTTATCAACATTCAGCTCTATTCTGGTTCTTCATTGTATAAGTATTCCTTATTCCTAAACCATTTATACTAAATGCTTAATTTAGTATTAAAACATATATGCCATAGGAATTAAAGGTCATTAAGTGTTTATTGTGACTTTAGCATTTAATCATTTCTATATGAATATAATGTTCTGCAGTGTTTGAGATAGTACTATACCAAACTTGACAGCTATCAGTTATGTGCTTTACCTCTGTTATGGTTTTTTGTATTTCCTTGGATTTTTTTTGTTACATATTATTTTTACCATCCCTTCTACCTATTTGAAAGTCCATTGTTTCCTGTTTTTTCAGCTTCTTTATAAAATTAAATGCCTAATTGTTTTTTTTTCTACTTTTTCCAGTTTTATAAACCCTGAGGAAGAGGTCATCTTTTACGCAACGGTTGTCATGTCATTACAAAACTCATAGTACCACTTTTATTTAAAGACCTACAGTAGATGAAGCTTACTGAGATTTTTCTTTGCTTAGCCATGCTGCTACAGCTTGTATAGTGTTCCTTTCAAATTTGCATACACGTGTGTATTCTTACATTTGAGAGGATTTTCTATGGACTTTCATTTTATCATTAATATTACAAACTCACACTCACATATTACATCACGAAGGATCTGAAACAGATGAATGTTTAATGGAACATAACATTTCTTTATAAAAGCCTTTTTACTTTGTGAGCAAGTCCACACGTTATCAGAGCTACAATCACTGAGAGGACAGCTTCTTAACTTCTGTCCTTGCATTACTAGAAATACCCACACATACATGCTTGTTCTTGTGAATACATAACATTAATTTTCATTCCATTTTATTTACAATTCCATGCTACATAAAAATGAAATTTGGCGTGCGGTAGAAGCAGAACAAATCATTTTGACACTTTTTGTTTTTTAAGAAGCTACCATTTAGCATATGAAAAATATTTTTTCCCAACACTTTTTCTCAAACTTCCCATCTTTATGAAGATATTTTATAGAATTTGGACATATATAGTAATATCTGCATATAAGTGCTCTGTCTCTCTGAGCTAATAGCATAATTCAGAACCTAGAGAAAACAGTTCCATACTGTATGTCAAATATTTTAACAGTAAAAATCAAACATAAAATGTGTTATACGATATGTATCATATTTCCTCTGCCGAAGATAACTTCTGGATTGTTTATATTTAATATTTTGTTTTATTTACAGAGTATACTCCCCCCCACCCAAAGTGAAATACTGCATCACTTATAAATGTACCGAGAGAACACTGTAATCTCAAAAGTAGTAGACATTAGATAATTAGGTTCTCCAGAATACATTATTTTGTTGTTGCTCTTTACTTGAATTTATTCCGTTAGATATATTTTAGATATATATTTAAAATACACAAATAAACATTAGATTTTTATTTAGCTGAAAAATTATTTCAAACAAATCCCAACTGATTATACATATTTAATGTTTTAGCAGATGCAGTATTTAATTTTCTTTTCTAAAGTTGTGTTCAGTTGTGCTAGAGTTATATCTATGCAGCATTTACAGATTACGAAAAGTGTAAATTCAATTTGTAAAAATAAGACGTTTCACTAATATCCAGTATAGTATAGAGTGCATTATTTAGTGAAAGTCAAAGGGACTTATCACCCTGTTTGTGCATGTACTGTATGTTAGTGTGTTATTTTGAATAAAGAATACAGATTGTTGGTGATTATTAAATGTTTTTGTATTATTTTGACAAATTGATCATTCGTGACTGACCACAATATACTAAATGATTTAAGACTGTGGAATAAGCACTAAATCACCTCATTAGTGAAGGAGTTGACTGGGCACAGACGATGAAGTGAATGTGAAAATCAAAAGTAAGTTACACGGAAAGGCACTGATATGGCACGTTTTTCACTGATGGAAGCTGCACTAAGCACATTGTCCCTCTCCTGTTATGAAGCCAAGTTCTTTTTATTGATGAATCAAAGTTTTGTGTAGATCACTGATGGACTTCAATTCAGAATCTGATGGAGATAAGCTTTTGTGGTGCATTAATGCAAACTGAAATACGAAATATTGCTCTTGAAGTCCATGTGTGCTGGTCTGGATAGGGTTGTCTAGTCACTACAGAACTAGACTACTCTTCATATGGGCGTTCTTTTGTAACAGTTGCTTTCTTGTGTGTTGAAAATGTGTCTCATCATGCTTGAACAATTATAGAATGAGCCGGTATGACGTGCCATCTAGGGCTCAGAGACCAGTGAACAGGCACGTGCTTGTCCTGAATCTACAAGTGGAATGAAACAGAATCCCACTGCAGGCTCAGTTGCCTCACACACTACTAGCCTGTGACTTTCACAGTAGATCTACTCTTGAGAAAACCTATTGATGACAAATAGTAAACAGCATAATTAATTTACTTACATTGTCGATAAAATTTATGTGCATCTGAGACATACAGTAAAGCTGTCATTTTTGTGATATCATTGTGAATCTTTGTGTGTTATAAATACAGTACAGTAGTTTATTTTGATGCTCTGTATAGAGTGCAGTATGTGTATATGCAGTAGTAGTTCAGGTGGGTAGCTGCGTCAGCATGCATAGGCTGCAAAGGAACAAGTAATAGGTTTATTCCATGCTGAAAAAAAGAAGAAGAACACAACGTTCCGGCCGTGGAGCCTTCTTCAGGTGTCATATGCAACACACGTATATGCAGTATATGTGTGTTGTATATCTGTGTCAGTATTCAGGGATTGGATCATGCTTTATTGTCATTATTTTGTTTAGGAAAATCAATTACAAAAATGGTAACCATCTATAGTGAATTACACTGGGGCTAAGAAGTGTTCTGTTTAATAAGGATACATAAATTGAAATTTGAGCATGACATCTGTCGCCTGTCTGTTGACATATTATTTTTTGGTTCCCCTATCAGTATATATGTGTAGTTTTAAGTATAAATATTTGGCACTGTGTTTCAAAGTTGATCTTGCCTTTAAATAAATACTTAACCTTTTGTAATTGTAATGTAGCAGCTTCTGGAAATCTCCATTAGATCCTAGAATTCACATTTCTTTGCTAAATCACTTCTTTTTATGGATTTTAATCATTCAGTTTTGTTCTCACCTTGGCTTTCTGAGTGCTAAGCTGTACTTCTGAAATTTGATAGCCCACCTTGCCCATTATGAACAATATTGTGTAAAAATTGTCATGTAGTAAACTTATTTTCCCATCAGAGTGCAATGCAAGGCTATTGATTATTGAGAAGTTTAATTCCGAGTTTCCTTTTTTATGCTTGTTCAGGGTTTTAGCTAGTTCCTTGACCTTAAAAGCTAAAATAATATTTGTGAATATGCAGCAGATACACTGTTTAGAATTTACACTGAGTGCAGACAATTCAGAATGTTTAGAGACAAAAGAAAGAACTCCAAACTTTGAATGTACTGTTTTGTACTAGGGAGACTGTTTTGTCCTGTCTCCCTAGCTTTGAGATGTGTAGCAACATCCAAGTGTGTTAACTTTCAAATTAACTCCAGGGACATATGTATACTGAAAATGGCACATTCATATTGAAAATTTACCAGATAGAGGTTTCAATTCATGAAGGCTCTCAAGCAGAAAGCATAATCCTACCTATTAGGTTTTCCACTTGGAGGGTTAAATCTATACATGTCTGTCACATTTGGAAATTGGTTATAGTGTGTTTGCATTCTGTATCTTACATTATTCAGTTTATATGGGTGTGTAGTGAGAGCAGGGCTTTAAATATTCAGTTTGTAGAATAATAAAGATGCAGTTCACTGCAT